CATTTGCCACCATGTCTGGCTAGTTTTTTGTTTGTTTGTTTTTTGTATTTTTAGTAGAGATGGGGTTTCACCGTGTTGGCCAGGCTGGTCTTGAACTTCTGACTTGAGGTGATCTGCCCACTTCAGACTCCCAAAGTGCTGGGATTACAGGCATAAGCCACCGTGCCCAGCCTGCCAAATTTATTTATTTATTGAGACTTGTGTTTATAGCCCAGCATATGGTCTACCTTGGTGAATGTTCCATGTTCATTTGAAAAGAATGTGTATTCTTGCTATTGTTTAGTATGATGTTCTTTCTATAAATATCATCTAGGTCAAGTTAATAATGTTCAAGTCTTCTTTATCCTTTTTGATTTTTTGATAGCTTATTACTGATTATTGTTCTATTTGTTACTGGACAAGGGTTGTTAAAATCTCCAAGTATTACTGTGAATTTGTTAAGTTCTCCTTTTAGAAAGTTCTATTTTTGCTTCATATATTTTACAGCTTTGTTATTAGGTACATGCATATTTAAGACTGCCGTGTCATCTTGATGAATTGGCTCTTATCATTATTAAATGCCCCTCTTTATCTCTATAATAATAGTTTCAGTGAAGTCTACTTTGTTTATTAATGTAGCCCCCCTCCAGCTTTCTCTTGCAGTGTTTGCATGGTGTACTTTTTTTTATGTTAATCTATATGTTTCTTTATATTTAAAGTGCTTCTCTTATAAACAGTGCATTGTTGGGTCCTACTTTTTTTAATCCAAGTTAATAGTCTGCTTTTTAATTGGAGCCCATTTACATTTATTGTAAGTATTGATATGGTTGGGTTTAAATATTCCATCTCGCCGGGCGCGGTGGCTCAAGCCTGTAATCCCAGCACTTTGGGAGGCTGAGGCGGGTGGATCACGAGGTCGAGAGATCGAGACCATCCTGGTCAACATGGTGAAACCCCGTCTCTATTAAAAATACAAAAAACTAGCTGGGCGTAGCGGTGCGTGCCTGTAATCCCAGCTACTTAGGAGGCTGAGGCAGGAGAATTGCCTGAGCCCAGGAGGCGGAGGTTGCAGTGAGCCGAGATCGCGCCATTGCACTCCAGCCTGGGTAACAAGAGAGAAACTCCGTCTCAAAAATAAATAAATAAATAAATAAATATGCCATCTTGGTATTTGTTTTCTATTCATCCTATTTGTTTTTTATTCCTTTGTTCTTCCTTTCTTCTCTTCTTTTGGGTGAATGGAATATTTTAAACTGTACCTCTTTGTGTTGTTTCAAATAAAAATACTGCTTATTCACAGTTTTATTATGCAAATAATGTCTGAGTTAAACTGGTATTCAAATTAGAGTATGCCGAAAGAGAGCTAAGAGAAGATACATAAGGGATTGGGTCATTCTGGTGGCAGAAACCAACTTTTTCTACCAGAATTCTATTTGGGGCTGGCCCTGCCCTTCTTTTCCTATCACAAAATTGAACCATGACCTAGCAAACCTTAGGCTAACATGGTAGTAATAATACAAAGCACATATTTGTTAATCATTGCATATAATATAATTGGGTAGCTTCCTGTATATTGTCACATTCTTCTGTTGCTTTCTTCTCACTGAAAGGATCTTAGGATCCACCCTGGAAAATATGAAGTAACGTCCATCCAATTAGATTCGTATCAGACAAATACCATTTTTTATGTATCAGACAATTCATGAGCAGCTTGGTGCTGTCTCTAGAATCTTGCAATTTAAGTGAGAAGGTATTTATATAATTGTATTATATATTTATATTATATAGTCTCATAGGCATTTATTATATAGTTATGTAATTAAAAGATAAATAGCAAGGCAAGGCTGTGTGTAACTTTTACAGATAAGTAAATGAAATAAAGATGTTTGTGTGGTTAATTAAAGAAACAGGCTGGGCGCAGTGGCTCATGCCTGTAATCCTAGCACTTTGGGAGGCTGAAGTGGGCTGATTGCCTGAGCTCAGGAGTTTGAGATCAGCCTAGACAACACGGTAAAACCCCACCTCTACTAAAATACAAAAAATTAGCTGGGCATGGCAGCATGCACCTGTAATCCCAGCTGCTCAGGAGGTTGAGGCAGGAGAATTGCTTGAACCCAGAAGGCAGAGGTTGCAGTGAGCCGAGATTGTGCCACTGCAAATGCACTCACTCCAGCCTGGGTGACAAAGCAAGACTCTGTTTCCAAAAAAAAGAAAAAGAAAGAAAGAAAGAAGGAAGGAAGGAAAGAAAGAAAGAAAAAAAAGGAAGGAAGGAGGGAGGGAGGGAGGGAGGGAGGGAGGGAGGGCGGGCGGGCGGGCGGGCAGGCAGGCAGGCTGCCTAAGTAGGGAAATTGCCACATATTTAGACCGTGGCCATACCATGCTTTCTCCACAGGCTAACAGCCTGCAAGGTTCAAATTTCTCTGACATTTTCCTGAATTGCCTAATATTCAATCTGGTTGTATCTTTTTGTTTCTCTCTACAGAGGCTCTTGGTCATTTGTAGTCAGAGAAACTCTTACTTTTTTCCCCTTCCCTCTTCTATGTATAGATGGTTATAGATAAATATCACATGATTATTTAAAGGATTGAAATTCCATTTTGGTTTGCCTTTCCTGTGTAGGAAACGTTTACATCATTTTATACTTTAGAGCATGAATTGCCTCTCTTTCTAGGTGTAATCAATTTCTACTCTTCAGCATACAGAAGATTTTATGAATACTATTCACTGCAGAAAGAGCTCTAAAAATAATTTTGCAGGTAGGGTTTGTGGAACACTTGATAGTCTTATGTGAAACATTGGCAGGCAAAAAGAACAAAGGCACATCAAGGTAAAGGTGGTAGTAGGCAGAGCATTTCATTTTATTTGCCTCCACCAAAGGAGAATTTGCATTTACTGGAGAAGGAAAACAAATAAGAAACGGGAGCATCTGCACTAGCTGTTGAAGGTTTCATTTCTCATCACTGTTAGTCACATTTGAATGGAACCATTACACTCTTGGTATGTACAACTATGCCCTCATTTTTTTTTTTCCAAAAGGAAAATCTTGAATTTTATTTTTAAAAGTACAAAGGGCTGTATTTGACATTCCGCAGTTCATTTTGGAATCGAAGTCTTAAACCTGTTCATTTTCAGTAGGGTGGTAGAGAGTGTACAGTATATGGCATTTTTACACCTAATAGCACCTCCGGTAATCTGTGATGCATATTACATACACGCACCTTTTAGCATCTGTTTCCGCCTGACAGCTGACAGCATTAGGCTGAATGTTGTGATAAACAACTGAAATGTCAAGCAGTATTTCAGTGGTTTCTTATTGGAAAAAGTAAGCCCCTTAGAGCTTTTTTAAAATACTTTTCCATCAAGATTTTAAAGTGACATATTTACAAGTACATAATTAAGATGACATACTCTTTAAATGTTGGTTATTCTTCTAGAAATGGAGATGGATTTGGGCTAATCAGCAGATGATTATTCTCTTGGGCTAGGGTGTAAGCATGCTGTGTCACCCAGGCTGGAATGCATTGGCCTGATCATGTCTCCATGTCTCACTACAGCCTTGACCTCTGGGCTCAGCCTCTTGTGTAGCTGGAACCACAGATGTGCACCACCACCCCTGACTAATTTTTTTTATTGTTTTGTAAGAGACAGGGTCTCATTCACTATGTTGCCCAGGCTGGTCTCAAACTCTTGAATTCAAGCAACTGTATCCCCCTTGACCTCCCAAAGTGTTAGGATTATAGGCGTGAGCCACTGCACCCGACAACCTTAAGTGTGCAGTTTTGTTTTGTTTTGTTTTGTTTCGTTTTGTCTTGTTTTGAGAGAGAATCTCCTTCTGTTGCCCAGGCTGGAGTGCAGTGACACGATCTCGGCTCACTGCAGTCTCCACCTCCTGGGTTCAAGTGATTCTCTTGTCTCAGCCCCCAAGTACCTGGGATTACAGGAGCTCACCATCACGCCCAGATGGTTTTTGTATTTTTAGTAGAGATGGGGTTTCCCTACGTTGGCCAGGCTGGTCTCAAACTCCTGACCTCAAGTGATCCACCCGCCTCAGCCTCCCAAAGTACTGGGATTATAGGCGTGAGCCACCGTGCCCAGCAAAGCATTCATTTTGTTCAGGGAAATCTATTTTGCATCCGTATATTTATACTTGTTGGGTGACAAAGCAAGACTCTGTTTCCAAAAAAAGAAAGAAAGAAAGAAAGAAACGCTGCCTAAGTAGGGAAATTGCCACATATTTAGACCGTGGCCATACCATGCTTTCTCCACAGGCTAACAGCCTGCAAGGTTCAAATTTCTCTGACATTTTCCTGAATTGCCTAATACTCAATCTGGTTGTATCTTTTTGTTGTATCTTTATACTATTCTTAAAATATATGTGTACAGGATATATATATATCTAGATATGTATATATATAGATATATATGTGTGTATCTTTTTGTTGTATCTTTATACTATTCTTATAAATATATGTGTACAGGATTCTTAGAATTAAGAATTACTAAAATTCTGTCTTAGTATAATATTTATTTATTTGACTGATACTCAGATTATTCATTTCAGCACAGAGAATGAGATTTATAGGTTTGTTTTCTTATTCTTCTGCCACACTTGGGATTTTGGTCTAGTGGTCACAAAATATTTCCTAGAAATATATTTTCCTAGAATTACCCCCCCAAAAAATAAAATTATTTAAAAAAAACCCTCTCTTTAGTACATGAAATTTAGGTTTTGGACTTACATACTTTGGTCATGTGCTAAAAATTAAATAAGCAAATAAAATATCTAACAAAGCAAAGTTGGTCAACACTGTGGCTTTCAAAAAATTCCAGCCAGTGTTGCCCCCGCTAAATACTTCTTTCCCATCTCTTGACCTGAATATACTTCAGGAGAGAAGCTGTTACACTCATCTTTCATTAAAAAATTTCTAGTTTTCATGTGCTTTAGAACCAGATTTTGGTTATGAGATAAACAATATACTGTTTAATCTATGTTGACTAGTTAATCATTTATAACTTTTCAGGTGCTGCTTAGGATGAATATGATTTGGAGAAATTCCACTTCTTGTCTAAGGCTAGGAAAGGTGCCACAGAGATACCAAAGTGATTACCACCCAGCGGTCCCTCTGGGATCAAGGATTTTAACTGACCCAGCCAAAGTTTTTGAACACAACATGTGGTGAGTTTTCTTTTTAAGCCTTATATTATATGTGTTTCTTAAGTATCACCAGTGGTATTATTTTCATTTAGAACTAAGAAAGGATTTTTAAAGCTGATGACCTAACTCATGTTGTAGAGGTCCAAAAGCTAGGGTAACCAATCCTAACTTAAATGTTGCTGATTCTGAATTTCATTGCAAATGGAATTGGAAAAGCAAAACTTCCCATGTGCTTTTAGTAGCTTTGGAGTTCTTGTAGGTCCTTCATGCTTACCTCAGATCCTGATTTGCCAGCTGTCAATGGGTGGGGGTGAGGACTCTTTCCTAGGTGAGGCCCTCCTCCTGCTCCACAGTCCTTACCCTCTTTTTCATACTTGTTAACCGGCAAATATGTGTTGGCACCTGTAGCTTACTGAGCACCGAGATCACATTGATATGATTCTTGTCCATGCTTTTAGGCAATCCACACTATTTGGAAACATAGATATTTATAGAAAAAGCTGATGATTACCCATACAAGGCAGTAAGTTGTGAGTGCTTAGTGAATGTTACAGGCTATATGCCATATGAGAACAACTCAGTAATGCAAAACCACTTCTGTTTGGGCATAGTCAGGAAGATTTCTTAAAGTGAGGGAAAACTGAAATGAGGATTACATACAGGCATACCTCAGAAATGTTGTGGGATTCGTTGAGACCACTGCAATAAAGCAAATATTGCAATAAAGTGAGTCACACACATTTTTTGGTTTCCCAGTGCACATAAAAGTTATGTTTACACTATGCTATAGTCTCTTAAGTGTACAATAGCATTATGTCTAAGAAACCAATGTACAAACCTAATTAAAAAGTAATTTGTTGCTAAAAAATGCTAACAGTCATCTGAGCCTTCAGTGAGTCATAATCTTTTTGTTGGCAGAGAGTCTTACCTCAGTGTTGATGGCTGCTGACTGATCGGGGTGGTGCTTAGAGTGGCTATGGCAGTTTCTTAAGAAAACAATGGAGTTTGCCTCATCAGCTGACCCTTCCTTTCATGAAAGATTTTTCTGTAGCATGTGATGCTGTTTGATAGCATTTTACCTACAGTAGAACTTTCAAAATAAGTCAGTCCTCTCAGATCCTGCCACTGTTTTATCAACTAAGTATATATAATATTCTAAATATCTTGTTGTAATTTCCACAATATACAGAGTGTCTTTACCCCCCATAGATTCCATCTCAAGAAACTACTTTCTTTGCTCATCCCTACAGAGGAACTCCTCATCTGTTCAAGTTTTATCGTGATATTGCAGCAATTCAGTCACATCTTTAGGCCCCACTTTTAATTCTGGTTCTCTTGCTGATTCCACCATATCTGCAGTTACTTTTTCCACTGAAGCCTTGAACCCCTCAGAGTCATCCATGAGGGTTAGAATCAACTTATTCCAAAATCCTATTGATGTTATTATTTTGACCGCCTCCCATGAATCACAAATGTTCTTAATGGTATGTAAATTGGTGAATCCTTTCCAGAATGTTTTCAGTTCACTTTGCTCAAATCCATTAGAGGAATTACTATTTATGGCAGCTATAGCTTTATGAAATGTAGTTCCTAAATAAGCCTTAAAAGTTGAAATTACTCCTTGATCCATGGGCTGCAGAATAGATATTTTGTTAGGCATGAAAACAACATTAATACTCTTATACATTTCCATCAAACTCTGGGGTGACAAGGTATATTGTCAGTGAATAGTAGTATTTTGCAATTCCTTTTTCTGAGCAGTAGGTCTCAACAGTGGGCTTAAAATATTCAGTAAACCATGCTACAAACAAATGTATTGTCATCCAGGCTTTGTTGTTTCATTTATAGAATACACGCAGAGTAGATTCCACATAATTTTTAAGGGCCCTAGGATTTTGGAATGGTAAAAAGCACTGGATTCAGCTTAAAGTCACCAACTGCATTAGCCCCTAACAAGAGAGTCAGCCTGTCCTTTGAAGCTTTGAAGCCAGGCATTGACTTCTCCTTTCTGGCCATGAAAGACTTAGATGATACCTTCCAATAGAAAGCTGTTTTATTTACATTGGAAATTTGTTTTTTAGTTTAACCACCTTCATCAGTGATCTTAGCTGGATCTTCTGGATAACTTGATGCTACAGCTTCTCCATCAGCACTTACTGCTTTGCTTTGCACTTTTATGCTATGGAGATGGCTTCTTTCCTTAAACCTTATGAACCAACCTCTACTAGCTTCACTTTTCTTCTGCAGCTACATCATCTCTCTGAGCCTTCAGAGAATCAAAGTAAGTTAGGGCCTTGCTCTGGATTAGGCTTTGGTTTATGGGAATATTGTGGCTGGTTTTATCTTTTATATAGACCACTAAAACTTTCTCCATATCAGCAATACTATTTCACTTTCTTTTCATTCTGTATTCACTGGAGTAGCATGTTTTTTTTGTTTGTTTGTTTTTGTTTTTTTTAAGAGAGGGAGACTCTGTCACCCAAGCTGGAGTGCAGTGGTGTGGTCACAATTCACTGTGGCCTCAACCTCCTGGGTCAAGTGATTCTATGGCCTCAGCCTCCCAAGTAGCTGGGATTATAGGCATACACCACCGTGCCTGGCTAATTTTTGTATTTTTTACAGAGATGGGATTTCACCATGTTGCCCAAGCTGGTCTTGAACTCCTGAGCTCAAGTGAGATCACCCAGTCCAGGCTTCCAAAGTGCTGGGATTACAGGCATGAGCCACTGCACTCAGCCTGGAGTAGCATCTTTGATTTCCTTTAAGAACTTTCCTTTGCATTTCACAAGTTGCCTGGTGCAAGAGGCATAGGTTTTGGCCTTTCTCAGCTTACAATCGGCCTTCCTTACTAAGCTTAATCTTTTCTAGCTTTTCATTAAAGTGAGAGATATATAACTCTTCCTTTCACTTGAACACATTGAGGCCATTGTAGGGTAACAACTGGCCTCATTTAAATATTTTTGTGTCTCAGGGAATAGGGGAGCCTGAGGAGAGGTAAAGAGACAGGGAAAGCCAGGTCAGTGGAGCAGTCAGAACACACATAACATTTATCAATTAAGTTTGCTGTTTTATATGGGTGTGGTTCATGGTGCTCTAAAACCATTATAATAGTAACATCAAAGATCATTGATCACAGATCATAACAGATGTAATAATAATGAAACAGTTGGAAATATTACAAGAATTACCAAAATGTAACAGAGACATGAAGTAAGCACATGCTGTTGGATAAATGGTGCCGATAGACTTGCTCAATGCAGGGTTGCCACAAACCTTCAATTTGTAACAAATGCAGTAACTGTAAAGAATGATAATGCAAAGCACAATTATACAAGGTATGCCTCTATTTATATTGACTTCAGTACATAGCACAATGCCTGACACACAAATATTTGTTGAATTAATGTTTTGACTAGGTAAACTGAAATAATGGCATTCTAGGTGGATAGAAAATCATAAAGCACTGAGATGAGGAAATGTTAGGTATTTTCAGGAGACAGGACACAGGATAGTTTGCCTTAAGAAAGGCTTTTCTAGGAGACTGGTGAAAGATAAGTTTGGAATGACAATAGGCCAGATGAGGGGGAGGGGGAGGTTTAAGATTGTGCATGGTCTTGAATTCATAGCTGAAGTATAAGGCATTATAGAGCTACTGAAGATAAATGACATTATACTTAGTGTATTAAGTGTATGTATTTGGTAACACCATACTAGACTGATCAGCAGGGAGAATTAGAAGCAGGAAAGGGCCAGTGAGCAAGAGATCATTACAGAAGAATAAATAGAACTTGGTGCTTGTGCAGAATAAAGGAAAAGGAAGAAGTTGACTCTGAAGTTTTGATCTTAAGTAACTGATAGAAATAGGAAAATCAAGAGGTAAATTTATTTGTTTTATTTTGGAAGAAAGATGGCATTTAGACATTTTGAATAGGCTTTGTGAGCAGGACATTCAAGTGTGAATGTTCAGCACATAGACACTGCGCCTGGGAAAAAGGGAGAGTGGTCAGAGCTAAAGAAGTCAAGTTGGGTATGAATCTGCAGACAAAATTGTTATCAGACTAGCCTCTGGAACAGCATCTCTGGAGCTAGGAAAGTGATTCATGGGCTTTTTATGTTTTTATTGCAACTGACTCTCAATTTTGAAAGGGACTACATTGACTTTTTAATTACTTAGATCTACACTGTACAGTATGGTAGCCACTAGCCACATGTGGTTATTGAGCACTTGAAATACATTACTAACTGGGTTGAGCTGAGATGTGCTGTAAGATTTTTAAAACAGTACAAAAAATAAGGTAAACAATCTCATTAATAATTTTTATATTGAATTATACATTAAAATGGGTGGATATTTGGATATATGCTGTTCAATTTTATATATGCACACACACACACATATATACACACATATATGTGTGTGTGTGTCTGTGTGTGTGTGTATGACACACACATCTGGCCTATGTCATTCCAAACTTATCTTTCACCAGTCTCCTAGAAAAGCCTTTCTTAAGGCAAACTTTCCTGTGCCCTGTCTCCTGAAAATACCTAACATTTCCTCATCTCAGTGCTTTATGATTTTCTATCCACCTAGAATGCCTTTATTTCAGTTTACCTAGTCAAAACATTAATTCAACAAATATTTGTGTGTCAGGCATTGTGCTATGTACTGAAGGCAATATAAATAGAGGAATACCTTATATAATTGTGCTTTGCATTATCACTCTGTACAGTTACTGTAAAGTAACTTTACAGTTACTTTACAAATATATATATAAGTATATATGTATTTGTGTGTGTGTGTGTGTGTGTGTGTGTGTATATATATATATATATATATATATATATATATTTTTTTTTTTTTTTTTTTTTTAACAGTATCACTCTGTCACCCAGGCAGGAGTGCAATGATGCAATCTCAGCTCACTGCAACCTCCGCTTCCCAGGTTCAAGCAATTCTCCTGCCTCAGCCTCCTGAGTAGCTGGAATTATAAGCATGCACCACTGAAATGGGAAATGTTCCC